TTTCTCAGATAATATTGCTTGTAAATTTAGTCTACACTTAATTCTGAACTAATGTGATCTTTTTCCAAGGCTAGTACAGGCTTTAAAAATAAAAAAAAATGGAATTTATAAATTAGTTTCACAAATGCAGTTAATTTACTGACGAGTAAAGATGGCTTAAAACGTGTGCTTCAAGAAAGATTTTGTTTTGATTGAGTGAAAAATGTCCCAATTTTTAAATTATAATTTTATATAAACTTCAAACAAAAGTTGTGCTTGGAACCTGTTGCTTACTGACTGCATTTTTGGAGAGTCCAGTCCCTACGGTAGAGGCAAGTATATGTGATAGAGGCGATAATTGTAAATTAATATATATACAAATTTAGCATAGGAAAGCGTTAGAAATTATTTTGAAAATGATTTTTATATACGAAAGCATTGTAAATGATGTTTACTATTGGAAAAGCATTGCAAATGATTTTTACTAAGGAAAAGCATTGCAAATGATTTTTACTATACGAAAGCATTGCAAATGATTTTTACTATATGAAAAGCATTGCAAATGATTTTTTACTATACGAAAGCATTGCAAATGATTTTTTTTACTATTTGAAAAGCATTGCAAATGATTTCTACTTAGGAAAAGCATTACAAATGATTTTTACTATAGGAAAAGCATTGCAAATGATTTTTACTGTGGGAAAAGCATTGCAAATGATTTTTACTATACGAAAGCATTGCAAATGATTTTTACTATTGGAAAAACATTGCAAATGATTTTTACTATTGGAAAAGCATTGCAAATGATTTCTACTTAGGAAAAGCATTACAAATGAATTTTACTATACGAAAGCATTGCAAATGATTTTTACTATTGGAAAAACATTGCAAATGATTTCTACTTAGGAAAAGAATTACAAATGAATTTTACTATACGAAAGCATTGCAAATGATTTTTACTGTAGGAAAAGCATTGCAAATGATTTTTACTATACGAAAGCATTGCAAATGATTTTTACTATAGGAAAAGCATTGCAAATGATTTTTACTGTAGGAAAAGCATTGCAAATGATTTTTACTATAGGAAAAGTACTGCGAATGATTTTTACTATTGGAAAAGCATTGCAAATAATTTTTAATATTGGAAAAGCACTGCAAATGATTTCTACTTAGGAAAAGCATTACAAATGAATTTTATTATACGAAAGCATTGCAAATGTTTTTTACTATTGGAAAAACATTGCAAATAATTTTTACTATTGGAAAAACATTGCAAATGATTTCTATTTAGGAAAAGCATTACAAAATGAATTTTACTATAAAAGCATTGCAAATGATTTTTACTGTAGGAAAATGATTTTTACTATTGAAAATGCAAATTTTTTACTATTGGAAAAAGCATTGCAAATGATTTTTTTACTATGGGAAAAGCATTGCAAATGATTTTTACTATACGAAAAGCATTGATTTTTACTATTGGAAAATGATTTTAATATAGGAAAAGCATTGCAAATGATTTTACTTTAGGAAAAGCATTGCAAATGATTTTTTACTATTTGAAAGCATTGCAAATGATTTTTAATATAGGAAAAGCATTGCAAATGATTTTTACTATAGGAAAAGCATTGCAAATTATTTTTACTATAGGAATATTGCAAAAAATGATGATTTTTACTATAGGAAAAGCATTGCAAATGATTTTTTACTATAGGAAAAAATGCATTGCAAATGATTTTTACTATGTAGGAAAAGCATTGCAAATGATTTTTTTACTATAGGAAAAAAAAATTTGATTTTTACTATTGAAAAAAAGCATTGCAAATCTTTCGCAAATAATTTTTAATATTGGAAAAGCATTGCAAATGATTTCTACTTAGGAAAAGCATTACAAATGAATTTTTTTATACGAAAGCATTGCAAATGATTTTTTTTACTATTGGAAAAACATTGCAAATAATTTTTTTATAAAAAAACATTGCAAATGATTTTTATTTAGGAAAAGCATTGCAAATGAATTTTACTATACGAAAGCATTGCAAATGATTTTTTTTACTGTAGGAAAAGCATTGCAAAATGATTTTACTATACGAAACGAAAAGCATTGCAAATGATTTTTACTGTAGGAAAAGCATTGCAAATGATTTTTACTATACGAAAGCATTGCAAATGATTTTTACTGTAGGAAAGCATTGCAAATGATTTTTACTGTAGGAAAAGCATTGCAAAAACTTTGATATAGGTAAAAATCCCTACTGTTTTCATTATAGGAAAGCAGAGTGTTTTAAAAACTCTTCATATTTGTTGGATTAAACTCTTATTTTATGTGCCAACTCCTTTCAATATATACGCGATCATGGGTTTCTACAACGTATAGTCTCTTGTTACACTATTTTCTAAACTTTTACAGCCGTCCTTTGTCCGTGTCCTGCGGGCCATACATACAAATGCATTATTTAAGTTACTCGCTGTCCACGCACCTGCTTCTCTTGACGTCAGTATTTCCTGTGAGTGTTAAATTCTTCAAGCCCTCTTTCCTCATCATATATCCCAAAATTGTCTACTGTCTCTTTCTGGTTGCTAGTGGCGATTTCGTTTTTGTTCCTATTTTCCTTCCGCCTTCCTCGTTGCTCGTATGTTCTGTCCATTCTATTCTTAGCGTCGGTCAGTCTCTTCTTCATCTATGAGGAAAATTGCCCAACATCATTACCATCAGGAGATTAGATATATTGCATAGCAGTTCAACACTCTTTTCTTTATTTGTCTATATTTCTGAGGTGAGGTATTGTAATTATTTAAATTATTTACATTGTTCGGGCTGTTGTCCTCAACTTTATTGTCATGTTCACGACGTTTCGGCCGTCGTACGCCCCAGCCTTCTTCAGATGTTTGGAATTTCGTACTGAACCCTTTATTGCGTCCACCAGAGTAGATTGCTCTACTTTCACGTTCCATACCTCTTCTAGATGTCTCAGTTATCTCCCTTTAACTCAACTATCAAAGTTTTGTTCACTGCTGCAATAACTAGGTTTTGAACTCACAGCTATTTGGGTCAAGTCACTGGATCCAACCAACACTTTTATCTACTGAGGATACGAATTTTGGGGACTTATAAACTTAATGTCTCAGCAACCATTTTTACCAGTGCTCATATTGCAATTTTTGCTGTTAACCCTTCATGTTTTTACCAGAGCTCATATTGCAATTTTTTGTTGTTATTCATTGCTTTTCTCTCGCACTCATTATTACTGGTTCACATATTGAATTCATTTCTATGCTTGGTCGGCTCAGGAGATTTTTGTGGCCTAGTATATGTGCTGATTCCTTAAGTTTTCGTATTTTCCTGTAATGTTCTCTGTGTATTATTTCAACTCATCCCACAGGGGGCGGTAATCTCCCTTTTCTCCACATATGTGGTCAGCAAAGTCTTATTTTTCTATCCCCCCTCCTTTTTACGGCTTTACGATGTTCTTGCAATCTTACTATAAGGGCCGGTCTGTTTCACCTCTATATTTCTTACCACAGCTGCATGGGATGGCGTACACACAGTTCTTAATCATGTTCTCTGTAGGGAGTCTTACTCGAACCACTTTTGAAGGTCGTTCTGATGTTATATGGACCACTGGTATTTTGTATTTTCTCCGATAATAGGGTAGGCAGACCGAAGCAGTTTTCTGGGTGTTGTTATCCACTTGTACCCTTCTATCCCAGTTTGTCGGAACTGTTACCATGTACCCAGGGTAGGTGTTACGTTGTAGGGTACTGCTTAAACGGACTATTTCTTGCTCATATATCTGTGTGTCGCCACTTCTGACTTTTGCTCGATGTTGTAAGCAGTGGACGATCCCTTTCTTTACATTGTATGGGCAGTGAGTATTGAAGATGAGGTACTGTCCGGTGAATGTTGGCTTGCGGTATGCGGAGGTCTTGAGCCCATGCTCTGTTCAAGATATTAGTACATCCAGGAGGGCGAGTTTGTTTTCTCTCTTCATTATGAACTGCATCAATGATTATTGAGGTCACATGGTCCAGTAGTAGCTGGACCTCTTCCTGGCGTGACCAGGGCATCAAGGTGTCATCTGCGTATCTCAACCATCGGGTTGGCTTTAGTGAATAGGACAATAGAGACGAGGGCAACAGTCCGAACAATGTAAATAATGTAAATACTCTTTTCTTTGTTTCTACCGAAATTTTCCTTTCTCTTAATACTTGGCTGAGTTTCTGGAAGATATTTTTCGTTGTTCAAATGCGCGACATTTGTGCATCACATTATCATCTGTTACTCCTCTGACTATGTAATTAGATTTTTTTTGATTGATTGATTGATTCGTTTTCTACGGTTTATCAACCATTTTCAGGTTATTTAAAGCCAGAAACATTTTTTTTTTTTTTATTTATTTATTTTTTTTTTTGATTGATTGATTTTTTTTTTTTGTTTATCAACCATTTTCAGGTTATTTATTCAGAAACACATTTTATTTTTTTTATTTATTTTTATTTCATTTTTTTTTTTTGATTGATTGATTCGTTTTTCTACGGTTTATCAACCATTTTCAGGTTATTTAAAGCCAGAACACATTTTTATTTTTTTATTTATTTATTTATTTATTTTTTTTGATTGATTGATTCGTTTTTTACGGTTTATCAACCATTTTCAGGTTATTTAAAGCCAGAACACATTTTTATTTTTTTTATTTTTAATTTTTTTTTTTTTTTTGATTGATTGATTCGTTTTCTACGGTTTATCAACCATTTTCAGGTTATTTAAAGCCAGAACACATTTTTATTTATTTATTTATTTATTTTTATTTACTTATTTTTTTTTTTTGAGGGGTGTGATAATGATGTAGCGATACAAGTCTCGCTAATTAACCTATAGTTGGTTTGGAGAAGAGGTGGTTTCATGCCTTTCCCAAGGTTATTTGCGTGTAAGTAAATATAACGAACTCAACGCGAATTTGAACTCGGCTGTCCGATTAACAATTCCGAGTTATTATTCATTGCCCCACCCGCGCATCCAAGCTTGCAAGCACCTGATATTCACAAGCGGTCACCCATCTAGGTACTGATGTTGCTTAACCTCGGTGATCGTTCGGGAACCGGAGTTTCGACATGATATGGCCATAAGTCGTAGTTAAATTTCTGTAAAAATGGTTGATCTTGGCATTTACAGTGCGTAGGTCACACCGAACTCTAGTCTCAGATTGTCGGTCGTTTATTTGATACACGGGTCTCAGAATGTTCCCAAACTTTCCGGCAGCGCCGAGTTAGTGTTGTTATTAGTTACACTACAACGATTACTGCGTAAAGTGTCATCCGTAGCTAAAAAATATAGATCAGTCTTCACAATACTTCATTTACTTTTTAATAGTCACGCTTCCTGAATAAAGATAAAATCAAATCGAGTCTCTCTCACTCTCTTTCTCTCTCTCTCTCTAAGTCAAACACACACACAGTTTATCTTTCTCTCTCTCTTTTCTTTCTTTTCTAAGTCAAACACATATCTCAGAATTTTAATTTTTAAAGTCTCTCTCTCTCTCTCTCACTCACACACATATTCCGTTTATTTTAATTTTGTTATTATTTATTTGTTTGTTGTTTGACATGCTAGCAACTGGCCCAGACAAGCAGGTAAAGTCATAAATATATAAAAAACGTAGGTCGATGTTTACGACATATGACACCAATTCGTTTGTTCGGAGGGTCGTTCAACACAAGGTCAATCAATTACAATGAAATGGGGTCAAACCTGGAGAAAGGGCTGCACACAGGAGAATTTAAAAAGCAAATTCATATCAGCTGAGTTTGTAACTCCGAGCTTAAGATGCAGCGCCTCTCGTGGCTTCATGCCAATGCCAAAATTCGAACATTTCAAATGCTGATTTTTCAGGGTCTCTCCTTAACAATAAGATACTAATTTAAAATGAATGCCCTTCTCTCAGAGGGCACTTCGACGTGGTGCGCTAATGGTTAACAAGCTTGCCCCACCATATCAATTACTACTAAGTAGTGAGTTCGATCCTTAATAGGTGCTCTATACATTCGGCCTTGTGCCACATCTAAGTTTAGCTTAGTAAATCACTATAATGTTTATCTGACACAGGTGTTTTCTTCTGCTCGGGAAGTTGAAAAAAATATTAGCTCAAGCTCCAGAGGGCTGGGCTGGGCTTTTTTATGGGCTTGCGGTGGCTGATGTCATTACTCGGCACCTGAGACGTCCCCATAAAGGAGAAGTACCGAAGGGAGTTGAGCAATTTTTCTACGGTAATGCCGAAAGACCTACATTAAGCTTCGACTTTGTGCTACATTCCGTTGGGGCGTGGTCGCATGGACAGATACCTTCTCTTGCGTTCAGCTCCCGTCGGGGGCAACGGGAAACCCTTTACGGGGGTGAAAGGTTTCTAATAAAATAAAAACAAACAAAAATTTTTTTTCAGAATATGCTACATATTTTTTTTTTAATGAAGAGGCGGGGTGGGTATATTTATCAGCGGGCCTTGAAGAATCAGCATTTGATATATCCGACTCTAACATGAGTTCGAACACCGAACTTTTTGACACAGTCTTTTTTTTATTCGGTTTTATTACGAGGCATGCATTGCGTAAGCAGTTCACTTTACTTCCCAGTTTCGATAGAGTCCCAAACCGTCCCCGCGTCCTTGTGGGTGACAAATTATTTTCCACCATACAACCCCTTTCTCACATACGAAAGTATCTTGCTATTCTATCGCTATTTCCATCGAAAGTGTTCAGACGAACTACTTTGGGGTTAACACCTCCTACTTTCATAAACTGATCCTATAGGACGCTCTCTGGACTATAAATACTCTGCGATAATTTTTCATAGCCTTTTCTCAACTTATTCGCTTAGTCGTAAAGATGTAAATCTCTCGCGGAGAACGCGCTTCCCTTTGGGAAACGCACGAACCAACCACTCATGCACAACATGCATACGCACGCACATTCACTCACGTCAGATACTTTGAACTCAAAAGGTTTTCAGATTCTTTTCTTACACACGTCATTGTTTTTTGTCATTTGTATACTTCTATTGTTAATACATTATCATTTGTTTGTACATATATATTGGTTCTTGTCGATTCTTTGCATTTCTTTACGTAGATTCACATTCTGAGTCCACCATTTTTCTTGCGGGATATTTCAGGAAACAGCCTGTTATCCCAATTTCAAACACCGACGTTACTAATGCTAGCAGCAAGTTTGGGAAACGCGTTACTGGCCCGCAACTACATTCCTTAGTACTACCAGTTCCAGCCTTCACGGCTAAGATCCGCGATGCCACGCACATTGTAGCGTACTAGCCTTATTCCCTTCATGTTCCATTTGTGAGATGTAATTTAGTGATGATTAAGGATGCTTCATCTTAGATAGTACCGAATAACACAACAGGCTAGTTCTGAATGGCTTCTTTGTAAAGCCGAGAAGTTTTCAGCAATTTGTCGGATATCTTTCTGATAGCAATGTTTTCACGGGTTACGAATCGAGGTTAGTGACTTGCGTATTGCAGGGTGTTCTCTGAGCAAGGCCCCATAGTTTTAGCGCCAACTGGGACCTAAATTTAAGACAGACCTTGTGGAACCCGTACATATGACCTATAAAGATACTGGAAAAATGGTCGGATCCTTGTACTTGACTGTTCCTGGTATTTTCCATATATGGACACGAGTTTGAAAGTCTTCATTTTCCAGGCTCGACAGAGTTCAAAAGCGTCTCCGCGTCCTTGTGGGCAATGAATTATTTTCCGCCCTGCAACCCTTTTCGCACAGACGAAACGTCGCAAGCCTCTAGGTGTTATTTCTATGGAAAGTGCTCAGACGAACTACATTCTTTAGTTTCACCAGTTCTAGCCTTCACGGCTAAGATCCGCCATGCCACGTACATTATAGCGGACCACCCTCATTAACTTCCTATTCCACTGATGAGATGTAAGTCCCACTTAAGCAACATCTTCACACGATCCACTGCTTTGTAGAACCGAAGAGGATGCTTCCCCGATCATTACATTTTTAATCTGTTCAATTCTAGGGTCAACCGTTATCTTCCCCATAAACTCTGTAATCATCTACCTTGAGTGGCTCTTGGACCTTATACAGGGTGAACATTATTGTAAAATTAAAAAAAAACTGCTACAGTATTGGTAAACTGAACTGGATTTTGGAATACATTTGAAAATTGGGATACATTTACAAACGGGATGGAACTAAATTTCGTATCGTTTTATTTTTCATCAGTAGCACGGGTTATAGTAGCTTATTTTTATAGAAATAACCCCCACGTAGCGAAGTTCAAAGTTTTGCCGCGCATGGAATTGATGGAATATCAGAGTTGAATTTTTAAATTTGATTTCCTTGTCTACGTTTTGTTCCTCTAAAACAAGAATCGTGAGAAGAGCTGGAAAAAAAATCCTAAGGAAAACATTATTGCTCTGGTAACCCTGCAATTTAAAAACGATTCTTTTGAATTGACGTATGAAAGCCTAAAGTCACTGAAAAATTTTATCCAGTTTTCAAGGGAAAAAATAAAAATACACCAAAGTATATAAAAAAGAAAGCTGTAGAATTTCATAAGAAAGAACTTGTTACTTACATAACATCAAGTTGGTCTTTAATGAAAATTATTAAATAACCAAGACATTTTACGCATGGGCGCATGCGCACGAACACAGATGCACACTCCACACACAAACACACGCATATATACACACACACACGCATAAATACACACACACACACTAACACCAATAAAAAAAAGCATAAATTATTTTTCTAACTTAATATAAAAATAAAGAAAATGAGAAAATCGGCAGACAAATGCTGATACCCCCTGACGAGTGGATCGAAAGATTACAAAAAGGTTCGTCTATGTTTCTAGATTTATCAGCTTTACTCCCTATCTTCTTGGAATTTCAGATGTGTTTATTATTTGTGTTTAATTTATATTGGAATTGTTTAGATGGTTTTCCAAAGGTAGTCTTTTTAATTAAGTTAAATTTATCAGCTTTGAAAGGATCGAGAAATTTATCATTAGGTGGAGTATCTTGATATTTTAGTTTATAATTTTTTCCTTTTGCAAATTAGATATGGATTAAAGTCCATAAATCTAAAAAATATTTACAAATATAGTATATATTTTAGGCATATATATATATATATATATATATATATATATATATATATATATATATATATATATATATATATATATATAAGCAAATGTAAATGGATATAGATCCGACAGAATGAAGAAAAAATTTGGAAAAAACAAACAAAAATCCTTAAATGCAATTATGTTGTTTAAAATGAATGAAATGTCGACGTCTGACGTTTCGGTTTAATAAACCTTTTTAGGACAATATTCATTAAAATACAATTCAGTTCAATTTGACAAAGACGATGGACATAAAAAAACAAGTCTTATCCAAAACAGATAACTGAAAATTTTTAAAATGATCAGCTTTCCGTTTAGCATGGTCACGTTGTCGTCACATGGGCGACGCTTTCAAAACGTATTCTAAAAATTTTTGATTATTTTGAATGAAAAAGAAAATGAAAAGAATTCTATTAGGATCTAAAATTTTTATATGTATGCTTGTCGAGCATTAATCTCGTAAAAAAGGGAAATACTAAAGAAACCAGGTCTAGTATTTTTTCGTATATATATATATATATATATATATATATATATATATATATATATATATATTAGGCACTCTTAGTAGAGTTATTGATCCTAAATAAGTAGTTGTTTACAGAGATGATGGACTTATTTCCATCCCAGATAGTAATGGCTTACTGACTTCTAGAATACAGAATAACTGAAATCTCATTTAACCTTTAATTTCTTAGATATCATTTTTAACCTCTCAAACAACATACTCAAACCTTTTTTAAGGTGTTTTCTAAACATATATATATATATAACTTATTTTTTGAGTTGAATTAATAAAAATCAGCCTAGGCTATGAAGTCTAATTACAAAATGATTTCGTCTGTAGTTATCAATAATTGCACTGTTTAAAAAAAAAAAAAAAAAAACAAGGATGTCAACTCAAATACGAGTACCCTCTAAAATAACTTTTGCAGTAAAAAGAAATATGTCGAATAAA